CATTCACACACTGATGGTAGTGGTTCCTATGTAGTGAGACCATCAGTAGTAACTGATCCCATTTAAACACATTCATCCACCGCTGACGAAGCAGCGGGAGCAATTCGGGGTTAAGTGTCTTGCCAAAGGACACAGCGGACATGTTGTTGCAGAAACAGGGTATCGAACCTTCCGGTTGAGAGACGACAACTCTACCAACTGAGCCACATCCGCCCCAATAGTAATGCTCCACTCCCTTATTGTTAGCCTATCATATTGCTGCTGTCTTTTTAAAATATAGCTTTCGCTTCCACTAGTTAATTTATGTATGCCATCGTTATGTTCGACCCTCCACTTCCTCATCACCACCAGTCCTTCGTCGTTTCATTACCGTCTTTTTCCCATCAGCCTTTGTCCAGTCAACCCTGGTCTTCACAGTTTGGTCAGCCTCTTGATCCTTTCAGCCTCAGATGACATCTTCAGCTGTTCCCGTCAACCCCATTCTTCAGTTAAATCATCATTCAACCCATCAGCTTCAGATGACATCATCAACCATCTTCTCATCAACCGCAGTCTTGACAGTTCAATCAGCTTCTTCATCTCATACGCCCAGACGACATCATCAGCTAACGCCTCCACCACCAGTGTCCGGACTCCATTGAGGGTAGAGCTTTCAACCACCCTGTCTCCCATAGAGTTCAAGTGCCAAAGATTCTCTGACACTCATTCTATATCACATGTAACATGTAACATGTAAAAAAAACACATTTACTTGTCTCTCCTGCTTGAACAGAGTGTAAAGGGTATTGAGAAGCTGCAGATTGTTTAAAAGGCATATTCACGGTTGAGAATAAGCAAAAATATGGTAATTAGAAGTTCACCATCTTTTCAAATGTCTTTCACCAGTTCTGTAATATATTACAAATTGCTAAAATAAGAATAAGAAGATAATAAGAATGAATGTGTTTAACTTTAAAGACACAAAAAAGTTCAGAAATGTAACCCATGGCTGATTTATTTATTTGTAACAGGTGGGAAGCCTGAATTTCGGAATTTCATTTGACTTTTTATACAATCAAGTAAGAATTGTGGTTATTATTGAAAAAGAAAAAAACAACTCGTGCATCATAAAGGAACAATGTCAGACAGACTACACAAAATTTCCAACAAATAAATAAACTCTGCCCAAGCACACTGATGCTAGAGGTTGGAGAGGGGGGTGGAGGGCTATCCACAACCATATGGAGCATTGAGCCAGAGCGAAAAAACAGCCAGCCAGAAGACAAAGCCCTACTGCATAACATTTTGGCTGTAAAAAAAAATAGGTGGTCTCTGGTCATTCTAATCCCAATTCCCATCATAAAATATTTCACATCTGTATACATTTGTGGCTGAAATGCTTGTTATACTGGCTTTTACCAATTTGTTTAGAATTATGATGAAGCAGGACAAATCTGCTTTGTATTTTCCCCCTGATTACTGTATGTTTTACAGCAAGAAGCGTGTTGATTTCGTAGGGATTGGAGGTTCAGAGTTCAGGGCATGTTCTTGCAATCTGAAAAACAATCTGTTTCTCACCTTCATATCATTTTTACCACCAACAGATAGCAAAATAAAGCTTTATGGTAAATAAATGCAACTGTATGTGTTCAAGTGTCTTTTACGGGGATGGTTTGAATATTCAAGGAAGGTGAAGAGAGGTAACCCAAACAATATCATAGATCTAAACATGTTTAACAGAAATCTTGAAGTGTGTAAAAGGAGGCATTTTGGAGGCAGGGAATTGTCTAAAGAAAGCTGAAGCATCATTGAAATGATAAGATCCTAATATAGGATTTGGAGTCTGATCTAGGTTTCTTGGCCACATACTTTTGGTTTTGCCCTTTCTCTCCTTTATTGTTTAATTTGTGTTAGTGTAGTATGGTGGTAGTCTTTAAATTAGAAAGTAATAACATTGCTATAAATTGTGTTTTTGCTTCTATTTGTATTGTTTGATTATGACTGGTGATGATAAAATACATATACCAAGTCCAGCTGGTCCATGATGCTCTCTTGATCAAGTTTTAAAGTTTATACATATGAAAGTTTTCTGTTAAAAGGTGGAGCGAGGGTCTCCCAGTTTGATGCTGTTCACTCTCACAGAGAAAGATTGTTATTTCACATGTTTTCTCAACACTTGATATAGGCTACATGTAGGCTATTTGTAATCTTGTCACTTTTTTTGTTGGTTAATTTCAATAATTTCTCACATCAAAACATTAAATTGACTAAATCATGCTTTTTTTTCTAGAATTCTGCTTTCACTGCTAAGGAGGCAAAATGTATGATCAAGTACAAGCACCATGAATTGAACTTTTGCTCAGCACAGTACAGCGTCAGCAAACACAGTTAAGTGTCTTGCCCAAGGACACATCGGACACTTGGCCAGCTCGGGATTGAACACTTGACCTTCTGGTTGAGAAGCGACGACTCTACCAATTGAGCCACTGCTGCTCCTGCTGAAAGTGTTCAAGTATGCCTAAAGAAGGGAAATGCTGCTTTTTGTTTAACAAAAATGTGTATGCAGGCTTTTTCATCTATTTGAAATAAACAAGAGCAGGGCATAAAAGTATTGTATTTATGTAGAAGCCTACATCGACCTTCTCTCTCTCTATTGGGTTGTTTAAGTACTTAAGGCATGTTTATGGTCAAATGTAATGACTAAACCTTGTTTTTGCATATAGCTTTTATATAGGCTAATGTTTCCCATTGTTTGAGACTCGTGGAAAAAAACTCCGAAGCCGAGTTTCTACTCTGCTCGAATCTTGATGATGCGAAATGACAGGTGTCTGACAGTGTCCCCTTCATCGTTTCTCCCCCATCCCGCGTGTGACTCTTAATTCCCATGAAGTGTCGGAACATTTTCAGACAAAGGCTCCCTGTTATCCGGCCTGCACAGATGGGTTACCGACGCCGAATTTACTTGAAAAGACAAAAGAGGACTCTAACCGTAAGAGAGAAACGGAGAAGTGTACCTCCGCCCATCCCCCTACATCCTCCACCCCGCCTCCATCCCAGCGGGGCCGGAGACAGGCGCGTGCAGCAAGTGTGCCTCTCAGTTTCTGGTTAGCGCATCGCTTTTGTTGAAATCAGATGGCAACCTTGACATCAAGAGTTTGTGTACTTTCAATTCAAGTTGTAAAAATACTGTTAAAAGGTGAGGTTACGAAAACCAAACATAATATACATGCAAAATATCTTAAATTGCCATAACAAAGATAAATGGAACGGCTTTGTAGTGATTTCATGAGCTCTTTACGCGCTCCTATTGTGGGCAGTTGTCGCTGTGTCAGAATAAATGTACATGCTTTTAAAGATCCTAAATGTATGTTTTTCAGTTCTGTATTTGATATTTAACGTAATACTACTTCTACAAGAGCCTTTTTCACGAAGTCAGACGTTCTACTAGACAAACCATTGAGAGATGAATAGAAGGATGAATGGCATCTAACATCGATAAACAAGCATATCATGATAGCTTGGACGCTAAAATTTAAGGAGTCAAGCTGAAATAGACAATTGCAGCACAGTTTCCAAGCAGGGGGGCTGGGGATGGTTTATTTCGGTTGGACACCAACAGCAGGAACCCATAAGACACTTGCAGATGGGGTACCCACGCCAAAACTGCGTGGAGATCATGTGTCGTGCGTGTGAAGTTTATAAAGAAGAAGTATGTGTGTGTGTGTGTGTGTGTGTGTGTGTGTGTGTGTGTGTGTGTGTGTGCGCTGGTGGGACATGGCTCTTAAGGATGCTGGTGTGGGGCAGGTGGAGTGTAAAGGGGGTGGGGCTGATGGATATAGTTGGGGTTGAAGGCTCAGTAACAGACAACCATCTGGTCCCTGTGACGCGTGCTGCAAGCGTGGTTCCCCTGAGTGCAGTGGTATTTGATGGCTTGTCATGTCCCTCCAGGGTTTTTTAAATATTAAATATGAAAATCTCAAATCTGTTTAAGATTTTATTTTTACACATCGTTTAGGGTACGATGAATGGTTGTTAATTTTTCGCAGTCTACAAAGAAAAATGAACCCCAAATATGTATGACACTTTATAAGTTGAAACCCATGATCAATTTATTTACGACTGAGACTGTCATGAAAACACATGTTCCACACTCACCCTGTGTGTTTTTGCCCCCACCGCCTTGCGTGAGGCGTTGGTAGCAGCGGTATATAGCCTACAGGTAGAGACCCCCCCTGGGAAGACACAGCCTAAAAATGTCATATGCAAAACTATTGTTGTCAAAATGTAACAGCAGATGTTATTTGAAAGTAGCGTGGCTTGGGTAAGAGATTGGGACGAGTCTGTATCTCTGTGCATGTTTGCATTTATGCAAGCCTGACCCCTATGCCAGTAATGTATGTATTACACCTTGCTGATCCAATTGTGTGTATTTATTTAAAGATTATATTTTATCTTAAAAAATATTCAAGCTTACATAGAGCTTTGCTAAAATAGAGTGAGGCATCCACTTTTTGGACTCTCTGAGCAGTGCGTAATTACGCACCAGTAAAAGCACTCATATATTTCCCTCATGTGTTTCGTTAACGTTTTCCGTCTTTATATGAAAAAAATCACATGTTGGGCTCTATAATATGATGTAAATTGTAGAATTTGTAGGATTGGTACTTGGTAAATGAGCATTAGGTGCGTCCAGACTTTAAGGCTTTTTACGCACACACCCTCAACTTTTTGACGCAGTTTTTGTTTGATTTGGTGGATGGATCTAACGCAGACACGCAATGCAGTTGTCACGCTTGGATTAGAGTTGAAGACAGATGGTTATCTTGCCAAATTTGATGATTTTGTGTTGTTTTCCTCGTATATCTGGCCAGTCCAAATCGTTGCATACGCTTGGGGGCGTACCCGTGATGCACGAACCGACGCCACGGTCGTGGATATAAACCGCAGCCCGTGGCCGTTAGAGACACATCTTCCTTGAATTGTGTTTTCGACACATCTCTGGCACAAAGAAGACGCTGAAAATGTCTCCAAATATGACCTGTGAAGCTATCCAGTCTTTCTCTCCAAGGCTTACTGTGGCCAAAAGAAAGGAGGCTCTTGAGCTTAGAAAGGTGAGCGTAGTCACTGAATTTTGTTTCATTGTCTTTATTTCTGATTTCTTACACATAATGTAATGAGTGAATTTTAAATGGTTCGTTTTCTTTTCAGACTATGAAGCCTTTGATGGAAAAAAGAAGGCGCGCCCGAATCAACGACAGCCTGAACCATTTAAAAAGCCTGATCCTTCCCCTCACAGGAAGAGATGTAAGTACTTTTGTGCGTTTTAATAATGCAAATACATTTTTAAAATCAGTTATCTGGTGTTCTTTCATTTATGCAAAGACAAGTTCCATATGTCTGACATTGCTTTTATTTTATTCTTTTCTGCAGAAGTCTCGCTACTCAAAGCTTGAGAAAGCCGACATCCTGGAAATGACTGTGAGGTTCCTCAGCGACATTCCCCCAATTAACGCAAAAGGTAATGAGTCTGCTTAATTTGAAGTCTTAATTATGAATATATGTACATTGGACCATTATTAGTTTAAAAAAACACGAACCTAACATTTTATTGTCCTTTCAGATGCCACAGACAACTACAAAGAGGGCTTCAAAGCCTGCCTTCAGCGCGTCTCCGCTCTGCTTCCCAAAACGAGCTTGGATCAGGACGCGCGCCAAAGGATGACCGAATTCATCCAGCATTCCACTCCCGCCAGCGTCAAGCCATCTTGCCTGAATTGCTGTTCCCAGAGCTCCAGTACATTCCCTCAGATTCACCAAAGACTCCTGAACCTCAAATCCAGCTTCAGCACCAACCTGGAGAGCAAGTCCCGCAGCAGCAGCGCAGTGGCTCCCGGCCGCGCGCAGCCAGTCCCGCAGGCTGTCAGCGCGTCCATGTGGAGACCCTGGTAGATATTTTCAGTTGATCAGCACGGGTTTCTCGAAAGACTTTGAAATATTGATAAAATAGCGTCACTTGTAAATATGCACAGTGATTCCACGCTCGTTATCGTTGATGAAGTAAGTAAGAATTCATCGTTAAATCGTCACAGTTGAGTATTATATACTTGTTTGTTGCGCACGCGTCTGCTGTCCTGTATAAGTCGACAAGTTTAGACAGTCGTATTTCTTTAAATCTGCATGTATGTATACGTTTAATATTTAGTCCTCTCGTTGGACTAAGTGAATAAGGGCCGTTGAAACAGCCCTGTAAGACCCAAAGGGTCATTGTGTTTGAATTTGCATAAAGACTGTAGTCTGTGCAGATGGAACTTGTAGACATTTTACATGTCACTGTCAGTATCTCTGTTGGGATGTGATTTATTTTTGCTATTTTCAGCAAATGTTGTATATATGTTATGTGTAAAAAAATAAATAATAAACTGCGATTTCGTGGTTAAATCCTGTCTTGTGTTTTGCTTTATGGTCATTGGTTTTACGCATGTGCGTAAGAGGGTTTAACTCCGCCTAAAAGTATTTAATTCATAAGTCTCATCATAGAAAAGTAAGAACATAACATGTCAGTTATAGGCTGAAGTATATACATACATGCACACAAACAGGATCATATGGACATGCACTAATGGAGAGATGTCAGAGTGATGGAGCTGCCCACAGTGGGTGCTCCTGAGCTGATGGTGGGGAGGGGGTTTGTTGCCTTGCTCAAGGGCACCTCGGCAGTGCTCAGAAGGTGATCTGGCACCTCTCCAGCTACCAGACCAACTTCCAAACTTGGTCTGCACCGGGACTGGCACCGTCACTGGCACCAGAGTTTAAACTGAACAAAGGCCTGGGCCTGACCCATTCGTTAAACACATCTGAAGAAGTAGGCTATAAAACCGTTAAGTAAGGCAGTGTGCTCTTTGATGGATGTTGTGGTCAAACCCGCCAACAACAGGCTATATAAAATACTGCGTCTGTGTTGATGATTGTAAACGCGGTCTCTGCTGCCCTCTTGCGATGGATGCAGGTAATGAAACTTTGGGTTTCTATTCTCCTGCCCAATCATTCTCCCATGTAGCCTACCTCTCATGAAGACAGAACACTGCATCTTAACCAGACTGTTGATGATTTGTTTAAACCACCTTGAAATATTGGCATATACTGGTATTTAAACTACTATCTTTTGCATTCACACTCACAGATCGGCCACATTAACATAAAAGATCGTTTTTGAACATTTGAATGCTTTTTTCAGACCGGATGAGTCAGTTCTGAAAGAGACTGGCTGCCGGCGGACACAGGACAGCTCTTGTTTCCGTCACATCACATACAGAGAACTCGCCGCAACACGAAATCAACAAAACAAGAGAGCTCTTCATCATCATCATCATCATGTCGGTACCGGAACCGGCGCGCGAGGCAGCATCAACCCTTCAATTATGCAGGTAGGAACCCTCGCGTGCTAATAACGGTCTCTCGGTAGACAAGTGACGATAGCACTCCGGCGTCGTTGCGTCCTCACACGATTATAACCCAGATTATCCGCTTCATATCCTGTAATCACACTCAGCCTACAACAGTCTGTAGAGAGACACAAGCTGTTATTTGACGATGGTCAGTTAGTGGACCCTTTAGTAGTTTTGGTAGGTTTATTTGTTTTTTATCAGTTTGTGAGCTGCCGGCAGAGCGGTGCAAAACGCCCATTAGCATGTCGTATGTAATGACCTCACAACGGTTAGCATGGGGAGGGGACACTGTACAAAATACAAAGGACTCAGTAAAGTCGCCATCATTTCCCGAGTCTACGTAAAAGTTGTATTTCATTGAGAAGGCTAGAAGATGTTTGCCTCTGTAAATAGCTAGTTCGTAATGTTAAAACTCGCATTACTTCCTTTAGCATATTATTTTCCCTAAACATAGCTAATAAAAATAGGAAACGCATCGCTGACACACAGCCAGCTGTGGTTACAAAGGTTACACAGCTAGTACAGTTGTTATGACCTATTTAAATACATTTGCAATAGCTTTCATTTCCTTGCTGTATGCAGAGTTTGTTGTAGGCTATGCTATACCTGTGCCGGCCCATAGGTGGAGCCATACAGTTTTGTCACATAACAGCGCTGCTTGTTCTGTGCAGAGGCGTGTTGCATTCTTGTGAAATAAATGTCACTGTTTTTAAATGAATAAAGGAATACTCAGAAGTTCCATACAATCTGCAGGTAAATTGAGTCATGTATAGGCACTATATGATGCATGAAAGGCATTAGCTGCATCCACACTGCAGATTAAAAGTGACCTAAATCTGTTTTGTTTTGCTCCTCAGATCTGATTTTTTCATGACAATGAGCACAGATAGTCACCTGGACTCTGATCTTTTCAAATCATATTAAGGCCACTTTTATGTGTAGATCCCTACAGGAGTCTGATACAGACCATATTTAAAAAGCAATGTGAATGGCCAAACAAATAAATAAGATCAAATCAAAGCAAAAACAAAAAACAAAAAAAACAACAACAACAACAACAACAACAGAATTGAGCATAAAGACTGGTAGTGTAAATGCAGCCTTTGTGACCCATGAGAAAATACAGCAATTGCTGAAAAAAATGTGATCCCCACTGAGTGCAACTGAGACAGGCACATGTCCTTTTATGAAATTGTTGTTTTTTTCATAAAGTTTTCCAATAATTATCTTATGAATTAAAGAAAGCAGATTATTTTCCCTGATTAAATGCAGTCTGCTGCAGCACTTCCACAAAAAACAAAACAAAAAAACCTCCCTCATACAATACTCTGATACTTAAAAGCTTCTGTACATCAATGCAGGTGTTTTGTTGATCCTGATTGTGCAGCATAATCCCCTCAACCCAAGTTGTTTATTTGAGCTTATTTGAATTGTTCTTGTAAGGGACAGAAATTATTTCTTCTGTGATGTTTACATTTATTTTGTGATGATATTTTGTGATTCAGCCTGTACACGATCTTCATTCCTGAAGTGATATGTGAACAGGATTAAAGGACAGAGGGACTTTCTTACTAGTTTGGCATTCATCTTTAAATCAAGTCGGCAAATAACCACTGCAACACTTTTTTCCTTTCAGTTCCCTTTCTTTTAAAGTTTGCCTTTTTCCCAGTTAGCTTATTGTTTGTTTGTTTGGGAGGGGGCATATTACTTAAACTTACGACTACATTATGGTGGAACAGGTTAACAGACAGGTTTACTGGAACCCAAAACCATTTTGGTTGTGATATCTTGGTCATGCATTTGCAGTGTTGTTGTAGTTCTAGAGTTCTTCGATAATTATTTTTCTGTCTATCAGCAGCTGCGCTTAATTGTCATTGTGACAAATTCTATTGGTCACCTGCTGTCAATTGAAGCATCAGTAGGTGTGTATGGATCCAGTCTGACCAGTCATGATGTCTGAGGCGGCGTCAATGTGAACGCTGTATGACATCACTAGCAATGGAAAGGCCTGAAATTTCAGAAGATATGAATGAAGAGATCATTCCTGAGCGGAGTCATTGTGAGACTGAGAGTCAGCCAGGAAGATGCGTTGCTTTAGACCTCCGAGCAGGAACCCAAGAAATCTAGTGGATAATAGAAATCCCCAATTGAGACTGGAATTTAGAGACAGCTCCAAACTTCAACTCAGCAGGTAGTTCATCTCTCTCATCTCTCTCTTGAATGAATTACATAATATTATGAACTGTCTTTAATGACTTTGCTGTTATATAAATGTCACTAGAATACTCACACTGTGGTGTATTTCACAGCACTATTGCTACACTAAACTGCTGCATACTGTAGTTACTTCCTTTTCTGTTTTCATACAAAAATAACTCATTGGGATATGTCTGCTCTGGTGATGCTGGTGATGTTTTGCAATTGTAAATTCCCCACATGTCACAACCCTAACTGTGACTCTTTAGAGGAAGTCAACGGTTACTCTGTCATACATAAATATGGGGAACATTCATCATGTCATATGGCTTATTACAGTTTTTTTACGATTGCTATGACACTTTTTTTCAATACTTTTAACAATTTTCCTAAACTCTTAACACAGTTAGCACAACATCCGTCTCTGAAGGCTATGCAATTAACACATTTCTTGTTGCTTAGACACAAAATGCATACATTTAAGACAAATTTAAATTGCTTGAACTTCTTTTACACAAAAGCTCAACCAAGACCAAAACAATGGATTTTTACAGCCACATTTACCAATCATTTCACACTGTATGTCAGAACAGATAACATCATGTTCTAAAACTAACCTATAGGCTAAAGTCTAAGTGAATAGCTTTTCATATTGTAGATTGAAACACATATATATATCCCCTGTATTATTTTTCCATTGCTACTGAGAAACAGCTGATTGAAGTCATGCAAATAGATCAATCACAGCTGATTCCCATCTAGTAAACACACTCAGGTGTTGAGGTTATTTCATTTGCCTGACCATATGTTATACAGTTACTGTAATAATCAGATGGTGTTGTGTGTTGTACTGTTTAACTATAACTATAACTTTCCCTATACTATGCTAGACATTCATTCTGCACGTCTTGTGAAATAGAGGATTACTTATGATGTCAGGAAACACACACACACACACACACACACACACACACACACACACACACACACACACACACACACACACACACACACACACACACATATGCCACACACATTCCACACACATTCCGTTAAAGCTTAACCATCTGTTAGTACTCAGATGTCAGTTCATCAGTACATACCTGTGTGGTTTGTAACCTTAGAGTATGTAAACAGATTACGCTGTAACTGGTGAGACGAGTTTAACTGACACACTGAAGAACTGGAAACAGCTGACGAACATGACAGCAAGCATGCTGTACAGTCTGTAATAATGATGCTGTATTCAGCCATGGAGAGGTGATGATGGTGTCAGAGAGACATAGAAGCACATCGCTGCTACACATAATTTCAAAATTTGTTTTCTTTTGCCAGAACAAACATTAAAGCCCCCCTCACCTTAAATGTCGGCCACATTCACCTGAATTATGAAGGGAAGGTGATGCCATTTTTTCCAGTGTGAGCTCATTTTGGTGTTTTGAATTTACCAGCTGTATCAGCTGTTGTTTGAACCAGAGGAGAAACCTTTGCTCATATGCAATTCAACTTTGGAGCTTCCGACTATTCCAAAGTTAAAAATTGTGCAAAATGCTATAAGTTATCAGTTGGTTTGTCAGGTTGTCACATTAATTGATTTAGACTTTTTTTTTATCCCAACCTGATGCTGAAAACTCACCACATGATGCTAACATCACGAGTAGTAATCGTTTCATCAGACCCCGATCATCATTCTAACTAACCTTGTCCATTACACAGGATCATGGGGCCAAATGATGCCAACATTGTGGGCAACGTTCACGGTGGCATCATCCTCAAGATGATTGAAGAAGCAGGATGTATTGTGAGCACAAGACACTGCAACACACAGAACGGGGTAAGACACAACACATCTACAGTATGGTATTTCACTACAGTGGGTGACTGAAGATTGCAGAACTTCTCTTCCTATGTTGTTACAAAGTTATTTTTATTTGCAAAATATTTGAATAACACAATAATAAATGTGTCCAGTATAAACATGATTTGGTGAATTAAGAAAATATGAAGGGAAAACAATCTCAGCTAAAAAGCTTAGTTTTAAAATGAGTTATACATGATTTATTCATTGATTCATTAAATATGAGACACTCCTCGTATTTATCTATTTTGTTTTTCAGATTTTTAGGTTTTATTAATCATAAAGTTAAATTGTAATTGAATCAGTAGTGCCTCACCCAGATCTGCTTGACTTCTTCTGTGCTGGTTTTACTTTTCACCCAGTGAACTCTCACCGACTTTTAATAAGTTGATTCATTCCATTGTCATCTTACCTGCAACAACAACAAGTATTAGTTCCTTGCTTAGATAGACATTCAGATAAATACACAGATGGACAAAATATGCTTTTGGAAAATACTACAGGACTCCCATCTGCTTCATGTAGACACTTGAACAGTAAAACAAGTAAAAACCCTTTATTTTGTCAATAATTTGGGACACATTAGACATTTATTTAATTTCAAAAATGACTTATCAGCTTTTCAGGTCGTTCCTTTGCAATACATAATACAGTTGATTATTTATTATAACTGAATTAAATTTAATTCAAAAAACTATATTTGTCCCTTTGGGGGGCAAATCATCATCGATTCAGTACACCCTCCACGTTCGCCACCACCATCACATAAGAATCACTTCGTCTGGTTTATCTGTTCTGCACTAAAAACTTCATTAGTTTGTTTTCATAATCATTAGTGGTATTGTCTCTCCTCTCTGTGTTTTAAACTCAAGGTCTGAATGTCCTTTGTCCCTGTGCCCATCGTTTTACACCAAGTGAAGAAGTCACACATATTTGTGTATGTTGTTTTTGTCTTTCACAGACATCATGGTGCAGTTAAACTTATCTGATTCATGACTCTTGTCTTGTTTAAAGATGGACTTTCTGAAAATGTTATCTTTGATGACAGATTTGAACAGTAATGGTGGAGCAGCCAAAGTAAACTCCCCTGTTAAGGATTAACAATATTCTGGGAGTTCAAGTTTAACGTGAATTGAAGTGTGTGAAGAGCTCACATAAATATTATAAAATATACATAACAGTTTTCAACTGCTGCTACATTATGATTGTTGAGAGAAATATTATGCTACAGTCTCTAAACTTCTGGCAAACAAAAGTCTGAACCTTTAAATGAGCCATTTACCAGAAACAATGGAACTATATGATCATGCAACCAAAATACTTTTTTTGCATAGGAAGTTATTTTTGAAACTTCAGAGCCAACCATAACTCCAAATACAATAACAACAACAAAGTCTGGAAAGTGACGTTTATTTAACAACATAACAAGTTCAGCATTGGATAATCAGATTGATATTTGATGTGTATGTGCTGTTGGTGGGATGTTTCCTCTCTTCAGGACCGCTGTTTGGCAGTTCTGGTTCGTGTGGAGAAGACAGAGTTCCTGTCCCCTGTGTTCATTGGAGAGGTCACCCATGTCACTGCTGAGATCACTTACACCTCGAAGCACTCACTGGAGGTGCAGGTCAAAGTGATGGCCGAGAACGTCCTCACAGGTGATTCATTTTGATGTTTTCATTCGATGCCATTTCAACAGGAACACACTACACAGAATAGTTTACATTCTGCCTTTGTTTGTTGTCTTAATATATTAATAAGGGCTTACAAACTTTGGTGAGAATGTAGGGAAATAGAAACAAAACTTAAGATTTTGTGGAAACACAATACCTCACCTACTCAGCAATGTTCACCTTTAGCCTCGTTTTCACCCACATCAGTGCAGAGGAGGAAAGGAATGACAGACAATCAGGTTCAAAAGGTGCACAGAGAGGCACATACACACGCATACACACACAAATGCACACACACGCAACCAACCATGTACACACGCACACGCACACACAGACACACGCACACACACACACACACACACACACACACACACACACACACACACACACACACCGAACATACAATATGTCTGATCAAAGTACAAAGATACACAGATACAATTTACAACTATAGCCGACAAAGATAAGCAGCAGATCCTCATACCAGAGAGCCTTAGAGAGAATGTCTGTTTGTCTTCCTTAATAAAAAACTCAATACAATAACATGTTATTAATTGCTGGTAATTTAGAAGAATTTGCTTATTGTTTCAGTTTAGTTGTCTTTTCCCCCTCAAACATCTCCACCTTAAATTGATTCTTCTTTGTTTTGTCCATGATGTCATGCTCAGAGCTTAAGTTGTTTAAGTGCCTGTTAATGTGTTTTATGAAACATTACACCACCAAATAATGGTTGACAAATCATGGGGTAGGCTTCCATAATTAAGATGAGTATGGACTGAATAAGTGTGTGAGCATTCCCAGCTGCAAGAAGGCAAACAAACCCAAACCATGGCACATGTTGCTGAAGTAAATTAAGCTGCAGTTATGAGGTTTTACCATCGACTACTACATTTCCCTAACTTGACCTATTCAAGTGGTTTAAGCCCCGAGAACTCAGAGTAAAGGAAAATACGTTTTTTTTTTACAAGGGTGTTACTTCTTATTGACTTGATAACAACTTGATTCCCTGATTCAGAAAGTAGCAACCACGCAAATCCTCTTCCTGTAGGTATGCTGTCAGTTTTTCAATGAAAATAAAAGAATATGACACTTTTCATCTGCCGCTATCTTAGAATTATAGTGGGTAAAATAATCTATAAAATAATTTAAATTTTACTCACAATGCCAGGACTATCAAAGTTAAGCATTCAAATGATTTCCAGCCATTTCAGAAAATTTCTTTTCGACTGTAAAATGTCAACTTTTCCTTATTTAAAAACAGCCCATTTTAATCTCATAATTTGTTCACAGTAGAGTTGAAAGGATATGAGAGACATTTATTGTGTGAGAAATTATGTTTATTGATGGAAAGCCACTTGTTTTCGTGGGGGTCCAACATACTCACATAAAGGCTCTCACACACCCATCCGCCCAATTATCCCCCACGCAAAGCCACAGCGCCCATCAGAGGTAAATATACATGATGGCATATTATTCAATCAAGACAACAAGAGATACGGTGAGATGATTTGGTGAGAATGGGTAGTAGTTATTTCTTAAAAAGGTATAGTGAATTTATTGTTTTGATGTTTATAGGTAGATTGTTCCCTTTCAGAGGGAGCTTTATACTTAAATGCTCGTCTGCTGATATCTTTTTTGTTTTTGGGAACAAGAAATAAAGGCTGCTGAGTTTGTCTTAAAGAATATGAGGGAGAATTGAAGTGGATACATTTGAAAATACATTGGAGCCAATGGTAACATGGTTATTAACTCTTGTTTCAGTAGATTTATTTCTTAATCCCCCGTTCAGAGATTCAAATCGTTCAGAGATTTCACACTGTGCTGTACCAAGTTCTAACTCATCATTATATGCAAAAGGTCTTTGACATTTATATCTGTGTAAACCACATTAATCCTAGACAGAAACTGCATGCACCAATAGTATAGATGCTTATAAAATGTTAAGCAGGTTACTAGAGTGCTAACTCTTTACTCAATGATATTCAGAAACTTTTAACTATTTGCTATGTGTGCCCTGTTAAATTTAAATACAGCTTCTATGAAAGTGTTAACCTTATTCTGTCACCTTCACATAACCTTGGTTGCATTTGTATTTTTTTTCTTGCTCTTGTTTATCGATTCTTATCTAGAAGTAGTGAAACATTTCCAAACGCTGGATATTTCACTCTCTACTCATACTAGTTTGTGATGTTCTGCTGTTTGACCAGCAGAGAGCAGCACACTATAAGTAGAACAGCTCTAAAAGGCATTGAAAAGAGACGAGCTGCATTATATGCTGTGCCAGGAGAACAGAAATCTAGTGCTATGTTGGTTTCTAGTTTTAGATTGTATTTAAGTGATGGAGTCTGTTATTTACATGTATTAATTAGATATATGTGAATTAGATATTGCTTATTAACAAATTAAAGCTACTGTGAAGAGTTTTTAGCTGGTTATCAAACAGACTGAAATTAATAATGATGCCTCCATATGACCTATAAAAGCAGATAAGACCATCAGCATAAAGACTGGCCCTTTCTGTACATATTGTTTAATGCTTGAAAAAGCTGCAGTGGGACAAGAGTCAGACAAAGGGATTAACAGCACAATGCAGAAAAAACACAGTGTTTTTGAAGGCAAAGATTCCCAATGAGTGTTATGATTGACTCTCAAAAAACAGAAGGAATAGATATTTTTGTTTAGAAAAATACTTTTACAGGACAAAATCAGTCTAGATGTACAGCTTTGTCCACAGGAGGGCGGCAAAATCTGCAAAAACAGAAAGTTCCTTGTAGGAGCTTTAAGTGTCTCACACACACACACACACACACACACACACACACACACACACACACACACACACACACACACACACACTGTGCTAAAAATCCCTTGAGTGAAGACAGAGAGGATCACATTGGGCCGACAGCTTTATCTCTGAACCTTTAAAGTCAATGGCAACAGTGATGCACAAGCGGTCCGTTTTACAAAATGTAAAGACCTGACAGCATTGTAACTGCAAGAACTCTTTTCAAAGTGTGAAAGTTGATGTTTAGACCCATTAAATTAGATTATAGAATAACATTCAATAACATTTTAGGCTTTTTGTATGTAAATGAGTATCCTTGAAATAAGGGGATATTGTTGATAGATTACTGAGTATATCTTACTTTTTCTTTATTTTCAGAAGGTCTGTCAATCCTAATAGACTAAGGAAAAGACAGAATAAGGGAGAGAAAAGGGGAGTAAGAAAGATAGAGGGACAGTTAGTGAGAGGCAGAAGGACATAATGATTGGCAGGAGGATAGCACAGGGAATGAAAGGTAGAAGAAAGAGTGAGAGTATAGGAAAGAAATATAAAAAAGGATGAAGGAAAGGAGGTGAGAAACAAAAGGAAGTATCCCCTAGACAGCCGTTGCCCTAGCAACAGGCTTATACTGGTTGGTTGGCTGGTTGCTGGGCTCGAAGCAGGTTGATGGAGGCGGAGGCAGATATATGAGATGACAGGTGGAGAGCTGGGTACATATATGCAGCCATCAGTATGGGCAGCCCCAACTAGAGGGCCTGACCTGTGAGGAGGGTCAGAAAAGAGGAAAAGAGCTGAAGGAAATGAGACACTCAAAGCAGCATGTCCTGGAACCTTTTATGCCAACATTTAACATTTATTCATTTATTAGAGGAAAACAGTGTTAGAACCAAAATTATAAGTTATCTTGATATTCTTTGTGATACTTGTCAGTCATCAGCAATTTTAACCGTTGTTTGACTCACTACATTGCAACCATTTACTTATTTTCTGACTGAAAATAATTTTTACATTTATTGTGTATTTAATTAAAAATAAAGGCAGGTTGCCAATCTGCTTCTCTGAGCTAAACAATCATGTAATATGTTACATCATTATTTTTTTTTACAATTATGTATATTTTAAAAAGTAAAGAGTGAACTTAGGTTGAGTGTCATAGCAGTATCTGTGTAGCCTACATGAGCGTAGCTCCAGCTAGTGGTGAAAGTGAGTATAAAAAAGACTTCCTCTAGGACAGAAGCTTTACTGTACAGGACAACATCTGTGATAGAATTTCTGATTTTGAAGCCAAATAATAAAATCAAACTCTGCTGTCAATCCCTCCTTCAAATATAATGGCATTATGTGAAAGTCTAAGGAAAAGGGTTCAGCACATATCAACCACTGAAACTAAAACTATGAATTGAAAAACAAATTGGAATAGATTTAATGATTGTTTTTTTTTCTGGTCCTATGTAAAAGGAGCACACAAGTTTAACTCCTCAAATACTAAATACAGGAAGCCCCAAAATGAAAAAAAAGCTGGAGGAGGCACGGCAGTCTTTTAGGTCATTGCTATAGGAAGTAGGTCATGTGTGTGTCAATGTATGGGAGTGTGCACACATATGTGTTTAGGTTTGAGTTTGCACAGCTGTTATCTACATAAGCTTATGGATGTCCATTTGTTATTATGGATTTGTTTATTTCCAGACCTCAGAATTGTTTTCAGATATCATTCATAGTGTTTTACAATTACTGGAGGATTTGTGCAAGAGACAAGTTCCTATCAATAATTCATTATAATTAATTATCAGTGAAAAAGGTTTTATTATGTGCATATACTGTACTTCACTTTGTATCTTGTATTTTAAATGCATTGATTTGTAGATTTCGGTTTGCATGCATGTGAAACATGGTATGCTGTATGTATGCTTGTGTGTGCATGGGTTTGTGTGTGTAATTTCATCAGTGTTTGGCCCTTTAAAAGGTTCCTGCTGGGCCGAAGGGGAAGAGAAGATAACGGGAGCAGACATTATTTGCTTCTGTCATGTCGGCTTAGCATCAGGCCTCACACACTGTTGCCCAGTCAGACACGGACGCCAAGTGGATGTACCTGCACACATGCTCCAATGCGACACACGCACTTACCCAAACATACTGACACACACATGCGGTAGAGGAGGGACAATCTGCTTCGACGCGGGGCCTGATAAGCTCATTCTGACACATTATGCATCAGAAAAGTCACACTGCAGCGCACACTTTGATTCTTTTAAATGAAGTCTGAAACTGAGGCAGAACTCTAAATAGATGTATTTGTTCCTGATGAACGTTGATGGTTTGAACGGTAATTAGAAGCAGGGCTAATACTGTTTGGTTGTAGACCTGTATTCATGGTTTATGGTTTGTATTTGCAGTTTTTTTGGTTAGGCAAAAGTAAGTATTTTGCTCTCTGTTTGTCTGCATTCATGTATTTATGCATTCATGTTTGTCCCGTATGTGTGTGCATGTGCGTGTGTGTGTGTTGGGGGAGGAGGCAAGAGTCCAGATTCCACAGTCAGTCAGGCAGCATCTCGTCAGGCAGGCCTCAGTCATGCCCCCCCAGGGGTAGGCTGCCTACTGTGGGCACGAGCCGTGATGATTGTTCCCGCTGGGGGGATTGAACATGCGCACTAACATATTCACATGCACACTTACGCACAGACCCACAAACATCAGCACACATCGATTTAAATATTCCCATGTATATACACAAATGTAATAACATACATGTTCAACCTTAGAAAATCACTCTGAGACATGATAAAAATGCTCAGGCATATGCTCAGGCGCACTCACAAATACACACACATACACACACAGTCTTTTGCTCAAACACAGCCACAATGATCTGCAGATGTGACTTTTCCACACAAATAAAAAATGTCTCAACATTCATGTATGAGTACACACAGGTCTGTGCACAGCAACAAAACCCACATATATACACAAACATCAAATGGAAGGTAATAATGCTTGTGTTGCATGCGCACTCATGCACATATTTGCATAAATACAGCATCCATAGATCACACAAACACACACACACGCACACAGCTACAGAGCGGAGAGCAACGCATTGTGAGTTGAGGCATAAAATACTGATGACAGTTCTTTCCATGATCCTGGTGTTTTACACAACTGTACATACTCAAAAAAGTGCTACGTGCACATAACCTCTTCTGTGTTATATAATTGCCCTGTGATTAACACTGGTAGCAGGGGAATTAAAGATAAGTATAATCTTAAATCTATCTATCTTGCTATCTAAATTGGAACACTGAATATAAGATGTTACAGTAAAAATACTGTAAGACCTTTTAAAATGAAGTCGCAGACATGCCAGACTTTTGGAACTGAGAAGAATTTCCCGAGGGCATAACTAAGGACTGTAACAGAACAGACAACACTATTCCAGGAAGGTCATTTAAGTATAAACAGAAACTGTGTTTTTCTCTCTGCTGTTTGTTTCACAGTTTGAGCTCTCAGTTCAGAATTACCTTGAAGATCAGCTGACATTATCAGTAATCAATGTCAAATCGTGTCCAGTTGAAATATACTGTAATGCTTGTAATGGGTTTTAAATTATCAGCTCCTGTCAAAACTCCTGGCATGATTTCATCTGTTCCTGTCAGGCAACAACATCCCACAGTGGGACTGTAGTCTACTTAAAAGTAATTGAGTCTTGGCTCAGTACAATGGAAAATCTGTGGTTTTGATCATGGGGATCAAGCAGTAAGAACGATCCTCGCTGCACTGTCTCTGGGCTGGGAACATGCTGTTCAGGAAGGAATAAAGAAAATATGTTTTTTTTCCCCCCTGCTCATTCGAAGAATGAAAGGTTGCGGATGCGTCAAAGCAGAGAGCAGAGGGGTAAATGTGTAAAATATAGTGATGAATCAAGTGACACTGCTCGGGGTGAAAGAAATAGATGAGGGTGAAGTAGAAAGAGAGAGAGAGAGAGAGAGGGTAAGTGTGTAGAAAAATAGGAAAAAAGGGGGAGAAAAGGAACAGCAAGATGCTAGAAAAGGATCACATTTTAATAGAAAATTAAGGAACTTTAAAGAATCATATCAACCAATCAAGCTTTATTTATACTTCAGAGATCACCAAGGTGCAACCACCATTTACAGTGATATCGAGTCAGTTACAGAAGAAATGAAAAGAAACTATAAAACGATTATAAAAGTAGAAGAAGATTGATATTACAAACATCAAGCATACTATTCATTAGTGCCTTTAAGTGATAAAAAAGGAGGCTGGAGGATGAAAAAGAGTGCTGGAAAATTGATTCTCAGCTTAAGCACCTATGTTTAAATTCAAATCAGTGCTCACAAAGGCTCTAATTTGTTATTCAATTTGACAGAGGAGAGTGTTTTGGAATTCAGCTGCTTATTATACAGTTTAAATAAAAGACGCACAACCTCTGAGTGATTAAGCCTCTTTAAAAAACTATACTGATGCTGTTTGTTTGGTTTTTAATGCCTCTTTATCTGGTTTCTCTTCAGCTTTTAGCTGAACATGTAAAGTTAAGTGCAAGATTCACACACAATCTGATTAATTTGATTTGGCCTCTGCAAACCCAGAGACACCTCGAATGTGGTTTCCATTGCTGTTAAATGTGCACCATGATTTTTTTTTTGACTGAAATGCTTACAATTTGCTGAATTGTCCACTCTGCAATATCCTTCTGCTCACATTCAGTTGTCTTCTGGAATTATTCACAACCTTGGTGCACCACTGCACTCATATTCAGTTAAAAGGGGGAAAAAAAGTATGCCACTGCCGGGTGCCATTTGTCTTAGCTGTCATCATAGTGCCCTTTTAAATCCACGGAGCTCCTCATTCAAAAGCCACCACCAGACGAACTTGAAATACCAAGCAAAAAGTCACTGCAATTTGCCGGCTTAGTGAGCTTTGTGCCATAGAGTGTGAAAAATAGAGTTAGAAATTTAGTGGATTTTCTATTTAAGATGGATGAGGCCAAAAACGTCCTCTTCATCCAGTAACTAATGCTAAAGAAGTAAGCTAGCTGCCAGCTGCCCCTTCTGCTTCCTGACACTTCTTTGGAATGGATTTAGTTCTTTGTCATATTGTTATATCATATGTTTCAGTAGACCTACTGTGAAGTTACAATAAAGCTGCAGTCCAGGCAATGACATGGTCAAACAATGACATTTTCTTCCTTTGATACAGAGGCATCTGAAAATCAAAGTCAGCTCCCTGGTTACATTCTGGTCAAAAAGGTCAACAGTCGCACTGGGAATCGTTTTCTGTCCCTCTCACTCCTCCCTTTCCTTTTCTCCCTCCAACCTAAACACAGTTCACTCAAAAGGTCCAGAAGGAGCTAATAATAGACTGGAGTCACTCACTCTTGGTAAAGTCAAGGATATGTAAATGTGCCTTTCTCCTCCCGGCAACTTCCTGGTTGCTGGCAAGGGCAGGAGCCAATGTGAGGAGGAGGAGAGGAGCACAGTCGGCATGGCAACCCTTCCCCGGCCGTATGCACAGTTTTAACCTGGGTGTAAAATGCAAATGTTTATTCCCAGGAGTAGCCAGCCATAGGCCGCATGCTCCCACTCACTTCTCCTAACTTAACAGTATCTTGTGCAAAGTCTCTTCATTGTTTATTTTTTATCAGAGTAATGCCCAGTAATGTCACAGTCTTCATTTCCCTCAAGATTGTTTTATCTGACAGATGTCCCTTATGCATTGGTAGACAACATTTAGTTTCTATGTGATTAACACAAGTAGGTACAGTTACAGTCTTACATAGATTAAAAATATAGAACAATAATTCCATTGCATCAATTCAATTGTTCCAAATATAAGCTTATTGGTCCCTGTGAGACACTACCAACCAGCGAGTGAATCAGACGGTGCAGCCAAAAGTAAAAGCCCCAAAACCCTTAAGACAGTGAGTTTGAACCTGCTGGCCCTTTGCTATCTTCCCTTGTGTCCCTTAACAACACAGCCTCAAAATAACCCCCCCCAATCTCTCTGTTAGCAAATTAAGAGAAAAAGTGTAGGCAGCATAGAACGGATATCGCTATGGCAACCTCTCCGCCTGATTGCTATGAGATGTGATTTCCAGTTTTATGGTTCTTAACTTTCTCTAAAAAGGAACAGCGAATGTTCCATCCTCAAACCAAGTCAAGGTTTCATCCACTCCATGAGGACATAGGGAAGTACTACACAACATATTTTTAAAACAGATAGATTCACACAGTTCATGTTCCTCACTCACTGATGATGAAGATGGTTTTATATCGGGGTTAAAAAGAGACTGAAAGAAAGAAAAAAACATTTTAAAGTGACAGTGCCTATTTACAACACTCAAACGTTCTCTGCATAAAAATGTGATCATCTATGCAATTCAATTTCTGTTCTATCATCCAAAAGCAGTTCCTAATGCTCCAATAATGAACATGACTAACTCGCCTTCAATAAAATTTTGATGTCATACAAACCTGTGTCTTCTCCAGGAGCATATGAACAGGGTTTTTACTTCCCGAACCACACAGTTGAGTCCTTTTAACATCTACATAATAATCAGGCATTTTAAAGGATGTCAAAACAGATATATTTTTGAAATGGCAGCATTGTCAGCTACAACACCACCTGAGAGACAATCACTGCATATTTCTGTGTCATGTGAAAAAAAACCCCCCAAAAAACGGAAGTACAGAAAGCCTAATGATCAAGTTGACATTGTTTTTCATTGGTTCATAACAACAACCCCAACATTAACGTTTAGGATTAGGGGATTATGCTAAACTTTCACCAACTGAGGAACAGAGTTTTGTGATTGTGAGCATGTGTTGTTCTGAACAGACATTATTGAATGTCTTTGAACAAAGGAGCTAGTTTATTTTCTGCTCTTTTGTTTGCAGAAGAAAGACTTTGTCTTTAGGCAGCGCCACTGGTTTTGTAAAAAAAGGCTTGATTGGCTTTTATTGGGGTGCTAATATGAGTGTCTGTTTTGACAATACAGTAGCTGTTTTTTTTTCGAATGGCTTGCTCCATTGTTTTATTTGAAAGACTTGGCAAAACTTCTTAAACGATTGGTTTTCAGTCAAAAACCAGCGCTTCATTTTCCTCAGTTTCTGAAGTTTTTCTCTATGACTGCAGGTGCTCTGAAGCTGGCCAACAAGGCAGCCCTGTGGTATGTCCCCTGCTCTCTACAGAATGTCGACAAGATTCTGGAAGTTCCGCCCATCAAGGTGCATACATACTTGGTTACTAAGACAATCATCAACTGAAGTTTGGCCTTTTAACTGTACCTGTCAGCCTCTTTCTAACTGTCCTCCTCTATACCCAAAATGACGTGTAAAGAGCCATCTGGTCATGGTTAAAAGACAATTTCACATTATTTAGTCAAAGCATGCATCAATGCAGAGCCTGGTATGAGTGAATGTGTACACATGTGTATGTTTTCTTGATGTAAGTGTTTTCCTGTAGTACACTAGTGCAGAGCAAGAAAAGGAGGGCAGAACGCGCTACGATGCTCAGAAGTTGGAGAGACTGGAGACCAAAGCAAGGATCGAAGAGGTGGTGCCACTTCTACCTAACCCAGGTAACATACGAGCTCAAAGGTCTCAAATCTCATCCATAACTTGTTGTCATGAAACATACAACACAAGTGTTAGGTATATGTAGTCTTAATCTCACATCGTCGTCTGAAGTTATCAATGCTTGTCTAGTCATCAAAAGTTTTATTACAAGTACTTTAAGTCTAACAGTACTTCACCACTTCACATCAAAGCATTACACAGACTTAGCCTGAATCAATATCCTTTTTTTTCTACATGGGCAGAAATAGAAGGAGGTTTAGTCATAGGAGAACATCCATGTACACATAATACAGGACACCATATTCAGTGTCAGTACATGTTTCAATATATATAATTATTTCAAATACTAAGGTAAATAATAGCAATTATCTTTGTAACTATTGCACAACCTTGGTGGTTTCCGAAAGTCAATGTACCATGTTGCACTGCTAACTGGTGCATCCTCTAAACATGACCAAACATTAGTGCGACACACAAGAAATGTGTTTCAGTTCACAAACTGTCACATTTATCAGAAGTGCACATTTGCTTTGTCAATGGTTCTAGTACTAAGTTGTGATGATTCTAACATTTAGAACTAATCATCTAATTTTTTCATGCTCACTCAACTTCAGAGGATCGACCAAAAGGTATGTTAGCCTACACTCAGCAGCCTGCATGTCAGTACAGTGACTTTAACAGGGCAGCATGTTTTTTTGTGTGGATGTCGGCTTGCTTGAGCAAAATACACTTGCAGGTTTTACAATGCAAAATTGATTTTTTTCTGTTGGTTTTTTTTTGAGTGTGCAAATTTGTCCCGTCTCAATGCAGAAAAACACACAGTCTGCTTCAGTCAGTCCAGTCTGATCCATTTGGTTGGCCCCTCTGACTGCACACTACACGACTATGTTCAAGGCGGTGAGTCTACGCTTTTCTTTGTAATTTCTTCAATGAAAATCGGCATCCAATGATCAACTCTATGGTTGAGTCTCATGATTCCTAACATTTTCCAAACTGATGAAAGATTTTTTTTTTTTTTTACGGTAAACAAGCTCAGTGAGGCTGAGTGTTCAATAATCTATTCAGTGTGAACAGCAGAGATGTAAAGAAAGTCAATCATTTGGCAGATAGTCTCAGGTTTTGGATTTTCTTGACTCTAATTAGATGGTCATTTTTGTCCTTGCCTGCTTTGACTTGTGACCAAAGTGTTTAAAACAACAAGGAGTGGTCAGAAATGCATGATAGAGGCGTGCAGTTAGACAATGCAATTCCTCATCTAAACGAATCTAACAAGTGAAGAGAGAAGAGAAGAAGATATATTTTATTAATCTCTGATGGAACATTCAATATTTTCAATATATACTACACAAACAGGATCCTATTGAAATGCATAGAAGCAGAGAGTCAGAAGGCTGCACATGCACAAACACCCAAAGCAGTTGGGGGTTAAAATAGATAACAAAAGGTAGGGTAAAATATCACTGTACAAGTACCATGAAATACTGCTGGAGCAAACCTGTAGATACCGAATAGAAAATAGATAAATATAGAACAAATTTACATATACTTAACCCAAAAACATACAAAATACTAAATCAGCCAATATACAGAATATACGAAAATATGCATAAACAATATAGTTAAATAATGTATTAAAAATGTACAATAAGGGTAAAAAAGTGACAGATGCTGAGCTTAGTAGGAGAGCTCTGAGCCCCGACTTCTGTGAGCCCCGCCATCTTTGAAGTGTCCACCAGTGCCTCCTCTGCAGCAACCAGACCAATATCAACTCTTGGTTTGTACCGTTTGTACTTTTGCCCCACTGTGTATGTTTCTTCTGGACACTTACATAATAGCTCATCCTTCCTGAAAATGTAAATGTCACTTCATTCAAAAAAAAGATTTGGAATTTGAATAAAGATATCCTGAGTAAAAAAATCCTAATGCACTAAATTCACTTATGTTTAAATAAAGGTACTGTACATTTATAAGACTGTAATTTTTGAAGTTATTCCTCAACACTAACCACACTGTGTTATTGATCTGATGCTAACAGTTGCTGACATGACATTCAAAACACAAGTAACTTCTGCCTCTTAGTATTTGTCAGATGTCTTTGTTATTCTCCCACATGGCAAACAACAGCAGAGTTAATGAACAGCATCAGGCTGTTTAGTATTCAAGGCAGGGAATGTCCTGACTATACAGCATGAGTACACTCTGGTATTCCTGCAGAGATACCTACAGACGAGAACATATAGAAAGGAGCCACAGAGGATTGGGCAGTGGGAGACATACATAAAGGATGAGATGAGAAGAAAAGACAGTGCTAGGAGAGTAAATAAATATCTGTGTACAGTGATTGAGCATTTCATCATTTGATTATTCAACCTTTGAAGGTTTCCTTATGATTTCAGACCAGCTTCCTTCCAGTTTTAGCCTTTAGCACGAACCCCATCTGTAAAATGTTACAGTGTGTCCTGTGGCAACACAGACAGGCAGAGTGGGGAGAAATACTGCTGAGTTTAATTCAAATGGAAGCGTCCTTGAGAGAGAATTTTATGACTTTTAGTGGTTATGTCTGCCCCTCAATTTAATGAAGGAAGTCATAATAAAGAAAAATGTTTGTTTAATAACGTCTTAACATTTTTCTGAGAGTTTGTTACTTGGTATTGTCCTGAATGTATTGACCCTGTCTTGTTGCTGAGATAAGTGCTTGGGTTGTTGAAGTTGTTGTTACATTGACAGCACTCTGGGCTGTTAATAGCTTTGCTTAATGGGGGGAAGAACCATAGACTGTAAATTGGACTGTGGTGTCACACATTACCTTTTGGACTGCTGTTTCGGAGCTCTTTGCATTATGGCTATCAGCTTGCCTTGCTTTCAGTCAGAAGCAACCATATTGTGACAAGAGGCTGGACCAGGGGTCTCATTTATAACTGTTGCGTACGCACAAAACGGGGTCTGAAACTGGCGTACGCCTTTTCCCACGCAAAGTCTGTGATCTATAAAAAAAAAACCTGACGGTAAAATGTGCCCACCGGTAAGCAAACTGTGACCCAGGCGTACGTTCATTTTGGAGGCAGGGGAAATTGGCGACACAGACGGTGAAGTGGTGAACTGAAGCCTGCAGATACATATTGATATCTCTTCCACATTTTATTTCACTAAATATCAAAATTTACTGACAGATCCACGTCATCATAATCATTTATTTAGGCTATAATTGCGCATGTAGTGAGCCGTTTCCGATAAGTCACTTTTATTATGACAATATATAAACATCAAATAAAAAGAAAAGTCCGCTACATACATATTGCATCAGCGTCGTCTCGCCTTCATTATCCCGGACGGACCTCAGAGGACCGGACTTGTACACTAATGTAATCACTGATGTAGAGTTAAAAATTAGACTAACACAAAAACCATAGAGCCACCAGTTTTCATTAATATATTTCAATTTCGTGCATTTATCATCAAGTGTGGTTTTTAGTTTTAATAAAGATGACCGTGTCAAGACGCACAGAGACACGGCGGTGGCTTCACACATTTCGCCTTCTCGTTAATCAGCATGTCTTTATCAGCAGCACGTATTTATTCTGTAAATAATTAAAGTGTGGACATTAAGTCGGAGCATCTCTGACAGGATCATTAGGTCTATATATCCTCATAATGAGTCACAGAGCAGACGGAGTTTCCCACAAAAAAAGGGGCCAACAATCAAACGTTTTTGTTCGTTGATCAAACCTTTGATTACTAATATGATAGAGTGAGACAGACTGCTGACTGACGTGAGCACTCATCATATATAACTTCTATATATGTAGAAGTCAGTGTGGGTCCTGTAAACATGTAAACATTGCAGATATACTCGTGCGTAATGATGAACGCTGGATGTTTTGGCACATACATTGGGTGAATGCAGCAGCGACGTGGTGTCATTCTCTGATTGTTCTTCAGTTTGTGATCCTCCTGCTGCAGTGAACTATCCATATGTTCATTTGATCCTTCACTTCATTCACAAACTCCTCTGTTTCTGGGTCAGAAAGTTTTGTTTCTTTGTCTAAACTTGTCTAAAGCGATCCAGTGCTGGAAACTTTTGCTCCGCCCCCTCGTTTGTATGCTTCTTCATTCACGAGCTTCTTTGCATTGACCGTTTATGGTTGAATGTGGGCGTGTAGAGAGCGGAACATGGGACTAATCTACGTGCGCACATTTCCAGGTGGATCGTGATTTATAAAGGGAACATTGCGTGCAGGTGTGCGTACGAACAGTTTTATAAATCTGAATCATTTTGTGCGCACGCCATTTTCGGGTTTTTGGCGCACGTACGTTTTTAGTATGGATTCTACGCACTCTTTTATAAACGAGACCCCTGGAGAGGAGAGGAGAGTTATCTAAGTTTAGAGTCTATGTCCAAGGCTAAAACTTTAGCTTGATACTGAACGGCATTCAGTCTGAACGTCTTCAAATAAAGACATCTAAAGATATTAGATCTCCTGGATCTCTACAGGGATTGATCTACTTTTTGAGCACTTTTGGCACTGGAGCTCTGGCTTCATTTTTCAGTCCAGGAGGGTCGCTGCTTGTGAAACCCAGAATGATGAGGAGAAATCAGGAGTTTGACGACAAGAACAGTGAATGGAAATACAAGGTCATTGTAACAGGACATTTAAAGTGCCGATGCCGTTTCCAATTATGTGCTTCAATGACAAGATGGCTACCTCACACACTCATCATTCACTGACTTGTCGTTTGACCTTGTTTTCTTTTTACAAGGAAGAAACTTCTGTTCTCCTCTATGCTGTTTCTCCCTGGACTCTTTTTCCTCACTGGATTTGATTAAGATTCCTAAAAAACACTTTATGAGGTAAAAATGACAAAGCATAGAGGAAACAATAAAGAGAGCAGCAAACAATGATTAAAAGCATGACGAAAAAAAGCAATTCACTGAGTGTATTTGATGGCTTATCCGTCCGTGACCAAAAAACTTAAGCATCTGATGTCCCAATCAACAAAAACCGCAAATCCTGACTGGGAACTATTGGAGCTGCATCCATAATGAATCCAACATTTTTATCAGCACAGAACATATGCCTTTTTATCAGTCGAGGTATATTGTTTCTGGCAGGTTATTCATGCCTCAGACTGCCATTTCTATTGAGGTCAGCTGATGTAAAGAGGACATCAGAAAGACACAGCTGTAGTGCGGAGGAAAAGCAGAGGGGAGATGTTGAGTCAGAAAGGGAGGCATGAGAAGGAGACAGGACAGGACAGCAGGAGGGGAGGAGGAGGGGACAGATAAGTATCTCCCGTGTCATGGTTGCCTTCTTAATTTGGAGAGCTTGCTGAGAAATCTGTCCAATTAAAAATCAAATGAGGAACAAGCATGCGGGTCATTTAGGATACATGTATACGCTCGCGCACACACTGCCACTCGCTCTCTGTACATGCCATTGCTCATTAGGCAATGTTCCCTGTTGTTCGCTGCTGCTGCTTTCACTACACTTATTATGTTTACATAACTGAGTCAGGTCAGGCAGCCAGGGTGCTTGCTCTCTCCTCTCCCACTGTGTCTTGCACTTACTCAATTTCTCTTTTTTTTTTTACTCTTGTTGGAGGAAAGCAAACTTTCTTTTAGGTGTCAACTACAGCCTGTATACTGAATGTATGTCTCCAGTTTTTTATGTTGTGGACAAGTGGCCTACTTAGCTTCAGCCTGAGGAGATATCCAACACATGCATGAACACAGCAAGAATACCCATGTGTGTTCATATTATATATGGAAACAGCCTTGAATACAATTATTCTTTATTTTTGCCATCATGTCTTAAGATCTATTAAATATTCCATTGATGAATCATGAGCCAAAAATAATGACACCACTTCCATCCAGTCAGAGATTTGACAGTGATGTCACTGAAGCTACTGTTGGCTACTACAGTCGAGTCAGTTACCATCTTTATAGTAAGGAATAATAAAGCTC